CGATGGGCTGAATTGCACAAAACGCATGATCGCATCGGCTAGTCTGGTGCGCGTTGCCATTTATTTATGCAGTTTACCGGTTATTAAGCAGGTTGAACGCATGAGAAAGTAACGCGCTAAACAAGGATGAGTCGGTTAAGTTGCGTATTACTACTGTTGCTCGAGCTGCGCGAACATTTCGGTATTACAGTGCGAGGCGTAAAATAAAATGAAGTTGATTCCACATTCGCTGGACTCGTGCGCGGTGGAGGAATATAACTGCAAAATTTCGTCGTTCTAGCACTTTGGGTTATGGAGATTGCGAACCCAGGCATATGCAGTTATATGAACGTTGGGTTTCGCTCCGCGTTTGTATTAGCAAGTAGAAAAAGTCTTCCAATTTGGCATTTTTTCTTTTCAGCGATTGTTGACGTGTGAATTTATTTTCCACTATTGCGCTGATATTGATGGGCCTAATGGAGAAGTAAGTGTCCTTATTAACCATTTTTGAACTTGCCGAATTTTGAAATTTATCTCGGAACAATAGAATAGTCCCAAAAAGAAGAGTTCAATACTGGGACTGCCTTTTAATGACGTGGGACACATACTGCGTGCAGGCGACGAAGGCTTCTTCTAAGCATCAGTTCAGGGTGGGGAAGCAGTACGTTAACGTATTTGGGGCGTATTTACAATTTACATCGGTTTCGATTCGAGAAGTCTTTGTAGTCTTAGTATCGAACTCTTCTTTTTGGAACTGTTCTATTGTTCAGGGATAAAATGCAGGCTGTTGTGCTGAAAAGGAAAGGCAATGGGACGAGGTATCATAGGTGCCAGCAAGCCGCAAAAAATCTTCATTGAATTACTGTGTTCCCGGTTTCATGTGAGCAGTATTATCCAGGTAGTATACGCCAGGAATAAGAATATTAAAGTCCCCTGTCCACGTAGATCCTTATAAGTTCAAGCTCGGCCCCAAGTCTGCGTGTTTCCCACTTACGGGTCTATGAGAATTTTTGGTGGACAAATTACTAACTCGAGAATCAGAAAAACTAGAAAACTGAAAAGTTAAGAGGATATTTTTTGACAGTCCTGGTGGCTAATCTCAATTCTTTTAGCTAGAAGCATCTACTAGACAAAACAGTGCTGTTATTGGCAAAAATCTGTGGGGAAACTACGCAAAAGACTTCGCACTGGCATTCGGTCAACTTTTCACAGAGCCACAGTCTGGGGTATTGTGCTTCATTTTTTAGAAAAGGAACGAGGAGTATTTTTGTTCATTTTAAAAAGTGTCACATTTAGTGAAGGCGACCAGACTTGAACAAAAACAAATGTTTGCCTCCTTCATTGCCTCAGTTGGAGGCTCTAAGATCTCTCATCCATGAAAAAGAGAAGTGCGGAAAACTGAATCCAGCTGGACAGCGTAGGTTTCAGTAAGAGTTACATATTCGTAAGAATATTCTAATATATAACTGGAAGACTGAGGTGTGCCAGTCTTTGCTGAAAAGACTGGCACTCCTCGGTCTTCCAATCTGCTATGAATCGGCGAAGAAGATGGCCATTCCTAGATGAACCCTTCGTGGCAGCGTACTACCACAGCCTACCAAATACCACCACAGATCTTACAATCAGTCTCTTGTTATCTCTCCGCAGAAATTAGCATGCTTCCAGCATGAATGCAACTTTGGCGTTTTTGTTGTCGCTGCTGACTAAAGAACAAGGGCTAGAAGAAGAAGTAAAAGATGACGTTTGATGTTTCACAGAACCCAAAAGATGACGATATCGAAACTGAAACGGCTATGGATAAAACCACAATTGCGAGCGGACTAGCTGCAGCATTGCTCATAGTGTAGTCTGTAAATGCATAGTTAGAGAGCGAGCTATGAACTGCAGAAAGTCAAAGTAATTATTTATTTTTAGCAATATGAAAGGCGCTGCCGACTGCCATTGGCAGTGTCGATCGTTCCGGCAGTAACTGTTGCCGCATGGCATGTATTACCGGGTGATGGACCTACCACACGATATGTTGTTGTGGATGTGACGAATAGTACTGAGTGGGATGCCGAATTAACGTATGGCAAGGATCGTGTGATCGGTGTGCAACCGAAGGAGTTCTGCAGGTATTTAAAAGATACTTTTAATTTTTGATTTGGATTTATTGTCGTATTCGTCATAGCTGCAGACTTGAATAGTCGCTGGAGAATTCAATATCCATTCATTCAATTTAACGGTAAATTAATACCTTTGTGTCGTACGTTCGAGGAGCAACGTGTTTTTAACTTTTCGATTGATTTTTGAGAGAGCTTTGTAACTTTGCCTTTGAGCGGTCACTACGTCAATGAGTTGTCTGTTGCGATTGCTGTCGTATTTGCGGTTTCGGATTTGTTTTTTGCGCCAGCACGATTTTGTCATTTGTTTACCGTTTTGTCATTTATTCACCGTTGAATTTCGAATTTTTCCTTTTGTAGGGTGCCGCTGCTCTGCGAGTGCTGTTCAGATGTGGCATCCAATGCATTTCAAGAAGCGGCCAGTCGTGCATCACATATGATGCAAATGCAAGAAATGGAACGTTTGCGCCAAATTTTGGAACGTCATGTTTCCTGGCATCTGGATATTTGTTGGTCGATTGCTAGTTCACGTCTTTCTGGATCTGTTCCTGTTGGGCCGTTGCTGTCTTCTGTGTCGCTTCTCAAACAACTTGTTATACCAGTGATTTCTATTGGTATGCACTGACTTTTGGAGAGAGATATTGGTGAAGTGGTGCGAAGGATAATTTACACTACTAAAAAAAGCTTGAGGGACACGAAATTTATGTCAGAAGAACTATTCTTCATCACTTGTCGTTCATTCATTTATGAATTTTTTTTTCAGAAAAACGAGTAGTACTGCAATTTTCTGCTTAGTATCGTCATTTCTGTTTTTGTGTTTGAAGATCACTGGTGTTCTGCTTTAAGTGGCTGATGAGAGCTTGCTCGCAAAGTTTCCTCTCACTGCTTAAAATCATTCAGGCTTGTGTCTTTAGTTAAAGCGTTCCTCTGGGCATTTTGCATTCGGGGCATATGACTAGACGTTTCGGTTCTCCAGCATGTTTCTTCTTGGGCTGTATTTCTCTTCACTTACCAGTGGTTTCGTGCTCTCTTACACCTTTTTATATCTAACTCCTTTGCTGGGGCTTTTAGTCATTTAGTCATTCCAGTTAATTTTTTTTCCTGGTTTCTCCAGATTTTAAATGAAGCTTTAGAGGTCAGTGTCAATGGAGTGCCGTATCTGAGTGAGGATGAAGTAGCTGTTGGTATTGGTGAATTAACTGAACTCAGTTTGCGACTGGTGTCTCCTACGAATGGTAACGGTTTTTATTGTTTTTCGATTCTTGCATTTTTAGGAGTATATCAGTTACCGCATTTTCGTTCGTCGTATTTTGCGTTCCATAAATTCATTTCTCCGAAGTTTATTTG